AACACAGTGAACACAACACAGTGAACACAACACAGTGAACACAGTGAACACAACAAAGACACACAACACAGTGAACACAACACAGTGAACACAGTGAACACAGTGAACACAACACAGTGAACACAGTGAACACAGTGAACACAACACAGTGAACACAACACAGACACACAACACAGTGAACACAACACAGTGAACAAACATGTTTGTTTGATTAAAGACAAAATGGTAAATGTTCACTCTTTAAAGAAATAATGGACACAGGACATAAATGATCTGGTGCTCACTGAAACTAAATTAAGTTGTTTTCCTCCAAAAAACCAGGTTATTTTGAATGAAAGAAATATAACATTAATATTTTTTAAAGTCAGTAATTTTAACTTGTCCTTGAAGGCTTCATTTGAAGCAGTTTCATTCTTTATTTAAAAAACTAAATAAATAATTTATGTACATACAAGGTGCACCTTTATGCAGATGACATCATAACGTTGTGAATGCTGACTTACTTTTGTTTTCTTTATTTACAGTTAGTACAGATTTTACAATYYAACTACTTCAGCATACTTTGTACTTTTTACCCATTCATACATCAACATGTTTGACTTGATCTGGAGTCCAGTTCCATGATGTTTGTTTTATAACTTTTATACTTTTCAGAATATCTGATGTAATCAGGGACGGCTGTATGAAATGAATCAGAGAGCAGAGCTTCTTCTTCATGAAGCAGCTCTGTTGTTCCAGGCTGACTTGTTTCTACCTTCTCCTCTCTGCTTTCTTTTCATAACGTCACATATTGTCTGAGATGAACCTCCAGGCTGGACAGAGCTTACAGTCTCAGAAAACCTAGTGAACATCATCATTTACCCAGCATGCTTTGCAGCGTTAATAAAACAGCACTGTCTGTGTGACAATATATATTTTTCTAAATGATCAAACCTGAACAGCCTGCTGTATTTTTACAGTCTTTGTTTTACAGTTGAAGTACAGGAAGTGTTTATCAGAAGTAACCATGGATCTCTTTAAAATAAACTTATCTGTTTCATGCTTTATTTTGTTTATATCTGGATGTTAATTTTAATTTATAGATTCTAACTTGGAATAGTATGCTGTCTTGACCAGGTATTTTTAAAGAGATGTTAATGTCTGAAAATGATATATATATATA